AAACTGGAAATCATGTAAAAATATAAAGAAAAAAATCTATTTCAATTCTTCCATAAAAATCATTTGGTACCATGCTAACTTTGTGCATGTAAATATGTTAAGTATATGTTTTTTTCAAAACTGATTGCTGGGCATGGTTGTAAATACTAGTAATCCCAGCACTTGGGAGGCTGAAGCAGGAGGATCACTGTGAGTGTGAGGCCAGCCTGGGCTATATAGTGACTTCAAGGCCAGCCTGAATTACAGAATGAGACCCTCTCTCAAACAATAACAAAAACAAAATTGGGATAATAGTACATATAATTCTAAATCCTGCATTTTACTTTTTAAATAAGCATTTCACTGTACCATTAAATATCATCCAGAAATGTCACTTTAAATAGTTGTGTGATAATGCTGTTCCCACATTAGCTAACATTTTGTTATTTAAAAGAAAGAAAAAATATATATATATATTACAGTGCACATTCTTCTTTTTTTTTTTTTTGTCTTTTTGAGACAGAGTTTCACTATGCAGTTCAGGCTGGCCTTGAGCTCACTTTGTAGCCCAGGCTGGTCTTGAACTTGCAATGATACTCCTGTCTGAGCCTCCCGAGTGCTGGGATCACAGGCGTGCACCACCACGCCCAGCTTACAGTGGACATTCTTAAGCATATATCTTGGCATTTTTGATTATTTATTTAGAAAAAAATTACTGGAAGTAGGATTACAATTTAAAGTTGTTGGTGTGGCTGGGATTGTAGCTCACCTAGCACGTATCAGGGCCTGGGTCCAATTCCCCAGCAGTGCCAAAAAATAAAAATAAAGTTCTTGGTGCAAATTATGTTAAATTGCCACCAGAAAGCTTTCTTTACCATCTTTTCTGCAGAAGATATCACTAAAATACCTTGAAGCCTCATTAAGTTTAGAAGGTATCACTAGAATGTTACACATTAACAGAGAGGATGTCATCTGGTGTAAAGGCAATAAATATTTACTAATAATATTTAATAATATTTAAAATAAGTAATGTCATAAAAATAATATTTACTGCTTTTCTCTAAGAGTCTCTAGCTGTCTCACTTCATGACACAGGTGGCTGAGAGAGATAAGGTGGTTCTCAGTGCAGGGCCCACGTTGGCCTTATCTTCTTGCAGCAAAGAAGCTTGTCCAAAGAAGCTCATCGCATGTCACATACGTTCCTAAGTAGGATCTCTGTGTATGTGGGTGAAGGAGCAGAAACAAAAGACCCTGACAAATTTAATTGTTGGTGGCATGTTTGCATTTTATTTATTTATTTTTTTTGCATTTTAATAATGAGATAATTCCGTACTATTCTACTAAAGTAAAAATGCCTCATATAATAGAGATTGGCAGTTGCCTTACTTGATTTCTAAAGGGTCTTACAGAAAAAATGCTGTGTTGCATATATCCTTAAGTAGCCAAATAAAATTAAGCTATTTTTAGAATCTAAGGATGACCCCACAAATGTATGAAGATCTTGCAATTAGGCTTGAAAGTGCCTGGGAAAAGGAAGTTCCCTAGGGACCCGTTAGTTATTTGTTTCATGATCAGTGGGAGAACTTGTACTTTTCCACAAGGAGATTGACAGTGGTTTAAGTCCCTTCATAGGAAAAAAAATCCCCCTCATACATTTTGGGAACCATCTCTCGCTTCTGACCAAAATTGCCTTTTGTGGTAGGAAACAGGAGATGGTGAATTTGCTTTTTTCCCCAAGAAGAGGGTTTTTTTGGACCTGGGTTCTCTACCCCAATTCTACTCGCTGGGGAATAGTTCTCTCTGCGTTCTTGGAGTGGTTCCTAAGCAGGAGAAATGATGTGTGGGGTCTGTGTGCACATATTTCAATGCTACCACTAATGCATAGCTGTCAGTCTCTTACCTGCCTCGCACTGCCTACCGATTTCAACCACCACAGTCTCCTCTTGTTCTCTTTTCAGCTTCTTTCTTCCTTTTTAAGGATTGAACCCAAGGCCGTCTCTCTGGGCTTCTTATTTGTATTTTGAGGCAGGGTCTTACTAAGTCACTAAGTTGCCCATGCTGGGATCAAACTTGGAATTTCCTGTCTCACCCTCCCAAAGTACTTGGATTACAGGCATGTGCTACCTTGCACAGCTAACATAAGCTCTTGTGTCTGGGGTTCATGATGCTTTCCTTCTTACCTAGGACATCACACCAGTGCAGAATACTGGTTTCTGTGATTTGTGTAAATCTACATTTGCCTGTAAGAGAGTCTCAGAATGGTTAAACTTTTTTATTCTGACTACATTGCTTATCTAGCTCAACCCTTCTATCATGACTCTCACTCCTAGGTAGTTTGCCTTCTGTGACTATATTATTATTGTTGTTATTATTATTATTATCTGTTTGAGACAGGACCTCGCTATGTAGTTCAGGCTGGCCTTGAGCTCACTTTGTAGCCCAGGCTGGTTTCGAACTCACAAGGACCCTCCTGCCTCAGCCTCCCGAGTGCTGGGCTTACAGGCGTGTACCACCACGCCTGGCTTTGACTATATTCTTGACACACTAGACACAGAAATTTCCCTGAATCTTGGACTTGGTTTTTTTTCTTAAACCAGTAGCTTACTGAATTGTCTTTCAATCACATAAAACTTCTGGTTTGCTCAGGATTGATCTTGCCCTTACAATATTTACGTGTGTGGACATCATGTATCATGGCTATTTTACCAGTCCTGGATTCTCCCATTAATTTGTAACAACTTTGGCAAGTGGAGGGCAA